TTGAATTACTCTTGTGGTTTTGGATCTGGACTGTTTCAGGCCAGGGGAAAGTTCACAGTCTTTACACAGTTTTTGAAAAAAGAGGAGAGAAAAATCTTCTTTCAGCATTATAGATGCATGGTGTGTTACAGCCAACTATATGCATTATGTCCAACTAATTTTAAACATAATTTATCTCCAAGCTCACAAGCTAGGCCTTCAGATTAAAAAGGTACAGTAAATTCTTGAATTTATGCATGTCTAGTCTAAGAGTAAATTTTAATATTTATAGGACCTCATAGGTACAATTTCAACTCAAGTTACTAGAAATCTTATGAAGAAAAAAAAGAAAAAGAAATTTAAAAAACAATGAAAATATTGAATTGTTACCCACCAGTTTTTAGTAGCATTTTGTGTGGAATGATCAGCAGAATAGTAATTTCAAAATTTTGCCTGTTGACAACTTTCTTGGAGTCTAAGGTTATGATATCATCCTCAAGCAAGCTTTTGAGAAGCAGCTTTTTAGCCTTTGAGCACACACTTGCATCCACACCACTCAGCAAATTATCTTAAGCTCACAAATAAATTTCAGTAACTTGTAGGAAACTTTGGTGTGTGCTGAGTGGATTCCTGAAGGCAGAAAGCCCTTGACATAGCTAACTTTGAACAGCTGACCAGGAGAGGTCAGGAAACACTTAGATCTTTTTTTTTTTTTGGAAGGAGGAATTTTCTTTCTTAGTGACCTTGTCCAAGGAAGAAAACGTTTACAAGCAACCTCATTAAAGGAAATATTAATACCTAATGTTCAATCTGGCCAACCATGGACTGACATCGGTAACTTTGTTCTCCCTCTACGCAGGGCTCTCACAACTGTCTGTACGTGTAAAGATGAACCACAATCTAATTTTGAGACAATACAGTTAATAAGAATAGGTGTTATCTTTATCAAATATTTCTTCCCTTATCCAGTCCTGTTGTAAAAACCAGTCATTGAAATTGTTGGCCTTTGCTGCACCACAGCATCATCTACTCTGAATGAAAATCAGTCTTACTCACAGCTGCTCAAGGTGATGATGTATTTTGCTGGGTTTATATCACTAGCTTAGGCAATGGATTCCTCTTCAGAAAATCAGTTTCAGAAATAAGTCTTTTTCCTTGTAAAAGAGACCATCCAGTCATGATGGGGGAAAGTGCCTTCTCTAAGTTTTCATGATTATTTAGACTCATCTGAGAAATCACATAGTCTTTTTCTGAATGACAGTTGTTGCAAGTTGTATTTCTGTCAGGCAGAGAATCTAGGCAGGGCCAGGCTCCATGAGGCTGCGTGCTCCATAGGCACAAGGAACAGATGTGGGATAATAGCTTGGCTGTCACAGGAGAGACTATGCCAATGTTTCAGACTTTATTAGCCCGTTTGAATGTTTGTAGAAAAGTTGAGGCTGAGCTTCTCTTGTAATTATTTGTCATTGAGTTTCTAGCCACCTCAGGCATCAGACCAGTGCTTGGGCTCTTTTCTTATTGATTATCATCTAAAAGCTTTGTTGCTGGGAGTCAATGCAAAATCTTTTTTGCGTGTTCCGTGGACAAATGAAATTCACAGTCATTGCAGTCAAAGTCTGGATCCCAAGTAAAACAGAATATAAAATTTAGCAATGCTTTTGCTTTGGGTGTACATTCAGTCTGAAATGATGATTTAACTTGAGATACATTAAATACCGTCTCATCACCAGACTACAAGGAGGTGTGTTTTCCCTGTGTGTGTTATCTCTGTTCTGAAATCTGACACAGTAAGATATCAGTGGGTCAGAGTAGTTATTTCTTTAGTCTTGGAGTGGATAGGAGGTAAAGGATACCTTTTCCATATCTGTCTTCCTGTCCCATTCAAAGTGCTTTTACACGTGCCATTCCCATTGTTTAAAAAACAATGTTTCTTCGTATTATAATTGTTTTTTGCATATATGAGAAACCAGTCATACATTCCTGTCTCCTGTGTGTTTTTTAAAAGTCTGAAGTCAGTTATTATAGTCTGGAGTCTTTTGTTGCATGGAGCTAAAACTTTTAGATAACAACAAAACAGTAGAACTTGGAGTAGGTGTAGCAGTTAGTGCTGTGCTGAACATTTAAATAGAAGACTAATTATATACCTTCTTGCCCTACTACAATTGTCTTACTACAGAGAAGTCTAGTATTCTTACTAGATTAGAGGCTCTATTCTTGAAAAACAACAGGCATTAGGATTTAAGAACGATACTTTGATAAAATATTAGAAAAGATTAGAAGCATCATATTTTTTATGTGGCTGCATGGCAGGTGGGAGGATTGTAAGGCTGCTTTATTTATCTAGCCAGTTTCCGTGATGCTAACATTTTTCTGTCCCATTTTCCATCACGTTTTTCCTGAGTTATAAACTGGGATGAAGAAAAGTGTTCATGCTTCTGTGTAAGTATAACTTCCCCCGTGATATTTTTTTCTGTCCCTTATTAATACAGTCATAAGCTCTAATAACGAGACCTAGAAATAGATTAAGGTAACCCTAGAAATGTAAACAGTCTCTCCTAGCACCAGACCTAGGAAGGGCCTGAGAGATACTGTCTCTCCCATGCTTCTTGCCCTGCCCCAGGCAGTTACTAATCTCTTACTGCTATGAACCATTATATCGCAGCAGTATATCTCTTCTGTACTGACCAGGTCATTGGCCAAGTGTTAACACATCCCCATTCTTGCCCAGCTGTTCTCGAGAACAGGATATGAGTTCCCAAGGAGCTTGTCCTTTTCTTGCCCTGTAAGATCTCCACATGAGAGAAAAAGAAGGGTTTCTACAGTCTTCTGTACCCTGACTAATGCAGAGGACAAGGTACAATATTGCCCTTCATGGGCATCTCTTCTCAAGCATCTCATTTAACAGCACTTTAAAATTAGTCTGTTTCTGTAGAGAGTTAGTCTGTTTCTGTTGCAAAATACACTTTTTTTTAAAAGTTGTTCCTGGGTCTTGTGACCTCCATGGTGATACAGGCTGATGTAGAGTTACAGAATCCCATCATGTCTCACTCTAATGAACAATGAACATTAAGTTCCAAGACAGAGTGATTTAAATTTATGATGCTCACTCCATGATCTTCCTGTAAGCCTTGCTTTTGCTTGTGACCCTCTGATTCCCATGACCTTGTCTCTCTAAAAAATGCTGCTTCTCAGCAGACCTCCGTCCTATTCTTTCCTGTCATTATCCCAAATGCTCAGTTCTTTCCAGTTTATTACCACATGGTTACTTTGTCCTTTGATGATCCATCCACTAGAATGGTTTGTCATCTTTGGACAGCAGATCATCATGAGGGGCCCTGGGCATTACTTTCCTTCCTCCAGTCATAGAATCACAGAATGGTTTAGGTTGAAAAGGACCTTGAAGATCACTGAATTCCAACCTCCCTGCCATGGACAGGGACACCTCCAACTAGACCAGGTTGCCCAAGGCCACGTCCAGCCTGGCATTGAACACCTCCAGGGATGGGGCCTCAACAACCTCTCTGGGCAGCCTGTTCCAGTGCCTTACAACCCTCAAAGTGAAAAACTTCTTCCTAATGTTTAATCTAAACCTGCCCTCTTCCAGTTTATAGCCATTCCCCCTTGTCCTGTCACTACATGACCTAGTAAAAAGTCCTTCCCCAGCTCTCCTGTAGGCCCCCTTTAGGTACTGGAAGGCCACCATAAGATCTGCCCAGAGCCTTCTCTTCTCCAGGCTGAACAGCCCCAGCTCTCTCAGCCTCTCCTTATAGGAGAGGTGCTCCAGCCCTCGGATCATCCTCGTGGCTCTCCTCTGGACATGCTCCAGCAGGTCCATGTCTTTCTTATGTTGAGGACTCCAGAGCTGGACGCAGTACTCCAAGTGGGGTGTCACGAGAGTGGAGTAGAGGGGCAGAATCACCTCCCTTGACCTGCTGGCCACACTTCTTTTGATGCAGCCCAGGATACAGTTGGCCGCCTGGGCTGCGATTGCACATTGCTGGCTCATGCTGAGCTTCTCGTCAATCAGCACACCCAGGTCCTTCTCCTCAGGGCTGCTCTCCAGCCATTCCCCACTGAGCCTGTATTTGTGCTTGGGATTGCCCCGACCCAGATGTAGGACCTTTCACTTGGCCCTGTTGAACTGCAGGAGGTTGGCTTGGGCCCACCTATCCAGCCTGTCCAGGTCCCTCTGGATGGCATCCCTCCCCTCCAGCGTCTACCTCGCCAAACAGCTTGGTATCATTGGCAAACTTGCAGAGGGTGCACTTGATCCCACTGTCCATCTCTGCGACAAAAACGTTGAATAATACAGGTCCCAATACTGACCCCTGAGAAACGCCACTCGTCACTTCTCTCCACTTGGACATGGAGCCGTTGACCGCAGCTCTTTGAGTGCGGCCGTCCAGCCAGTTCTTTATCCACCAAGTGGTCCATTTGTCAAATCCATGTGTCTTCAATTTAGAGACCAGGATATTGTGTGGGATGGTGTGAAACGCTTTGCACAAGTCCAGGTAGATGACATCTGTTGATCTTCCCTTGTCCACTGCCACTGTAACCCCTTCATAGAAGGCCACCAAATTTGTCAGGCATGACTTGCTCTTGGTGAAGCCATGCTGCCTGTCACCAATCACCTCCTTGTTATCTATGTGCCTCAGCAGAGTTTCCAGGAGGATCTGCTCCATGATCTTGCCAGACACAGAGTCATGCCAGCAAAGGGAACACTAACTCCCTTTTCTCTGTTAATAGAACCTGGGGAGGAGCTTGAGAAGGTCAGGAGAGTCATGGTATCTGCAATCCCCTTTTCAAGCCTCCCCACATGGAGGCAGTAGATGCTTTTAAATGTATGTGCATGTATACCTGTGAGCTATTTTAGTACTGTATGAATAGAAACTCAGGTCAAAATCTGTTGTGCTGTCTCGTCCTATGATCAAATACAAAATTATTCCTTAAGGTCTGTTGTTTAGTAATCCAGCCAACCTAGTGTTGGACGGCTCAAAGCTTTCTGTTGTTCTGCATCCATTATGCCTAATGATATGATTTCTCTGAAAATAGAACCCATGGTAAGGAAGCATTTTCTGATACTTGATTTCATGGCTTCTTTGTGATCTCCTAGTTATCTGTACTCCTCAAGCTCACACATATAATTCCTCTGTCTGTTTGGTAGCACTCTCTCTTCAGATATTTGAAGACACTTTGATGGAAGATGTTAACCAAATCTCCTCCCCATTATCATTTAGCCAAGTACACATGTTCAGTTCTTTAACAATTCTTTGAATGTCACTCCCTCTGGTCCTCTGATCTTTTTTCATTGTTTCACTCTGAATTCTCTCCAGTGGTGAATTTTCTGTGAGATCTCTGATCTCACAAGCAATCTCTGGAAAAGCAGTGTCATTATATCCCTTTAGAAAATGTCACTACCTCCTTGTAACACAATAAAACCTGCTCATTTGTTGTACAGGGTCTCAGTGGCTGCTCTGGGGATGCTGTTGCTTTGTGTACTGCTGTCACATCTGATTTATGATCCATTGAATATGTGATGTTCTTCTTGGCATTTACTAGCTATGTTCTGGAAGATTTTTGTCAATGGTGTGTTAGCTGGTGATACTCCAATTTGCATCTGAATTCATTCCTTCCCTGTCTAAATCTTGCTAAAGTGTTCTGTGTTCTCCGTTCTGGTTGGTGTTAGCAATTAATATCTCCCAATTAATTATATTTTATGTAAGCATGCTTTTCCATCCCTTTTTCAGGACATTATTGAAGATGCTAGAGAGGATAACTAAAAATATTTTTTTAGTCTTAGAACTAACAATTCTGCTTACTCCTCACAGTGGGAGCTGCGTACAAGGTAAACTTATCCAACTACAACAGAAACACTGTAATCCACTTAAGGTAAAACAGACTAAACAATCACAATGCACTGACTAATGCACAAAGGATTTACCATAACATGGCTATTACTCTGTGTTTTAAACATGCAGATGTATATATTTAACTCTTCAGCCTTCAAAACAATTTCAAATTTACTACAGTAAGTTTCTGGCTTCCCAGTGGTCCTCATCCTCCAAATTCTGGACATAATACTAGGAAATCATGTGGATCTGACAAGAAAACATTACCCTCCCAGAGTTTTCATCTTGTTGTGTTTGTATCTTCCTCTTGTTGAGGTTGACTTTTTTATTGAGGGAAAACGTGGCTATGGAAAACTTCAAGTCTAACAGAAATGACATTTTTATGTTGTGAATGTGTATATGTGGTTCTGGAGGTGTTACGGGGTTTAATTTAGTCTTTCTCTATGCTATGGAGCTGCATTGCACAAACACACGTTGCTTTTAGGTTCTGCAGGTTTGGAAATAGGCTTATGCTGGAGAGGGGAGGTTGTAATGGGGGCGTGATTTTGTGGTTGGTGGTATTCCAGTGTACACACTTAATGTGGGTAAGAAGTTACAGTTTGCTTGTAGTTTAGGTATCCATTTGTTTAAAAAGGAGAGAGATACCTCAGCTGGGTATCTTGAGGTATCTTTGTGGGTATGACTGTGCTCAGATATGGTGGTGATCCAGCCAAGAGACTGCTTTTGTAGCAGTGGTTAGCCAGATATATATGAATCCACCAGTTACTGTTTTACCGGCTCTGAAAATATGGAGGGAAGTTGCAGGTGAAAATACAGCAAGACCTGAATTGTGTGGGGAGAAGAAGACTTGTCTTCCTCCCAGACCACCGCACTACTTGTCTCAGTGGCTGTTTTCACTGAAATATAGAATTCAATTGTAAATAGTTGCTAGTGCTAATAATGGTGATGAGATATACAGATGTGTTTCTCTCTTTTAGGTAGGCATGGGTATAGTTCTACCCTGGAATGTCTTGTGCTCTTGCAATTTGCCAAATGCAAAATTATGTTTTCTTACCAAAAAAAATGAGCAGGTGTTTAAAGAAAAGTAAAAGGCCACAGAAAAAGCATGTGGTATCATTTCAGCTGCCTTCCCTCAGGTGATTTTCTGCTATAAACATTCTGTGGAAATATCAGTGTACACTTTACTGGACAAGATTTAATCCTTAAACACTGCTGTCTTCACTTGGAAGCTTTAGGAAAAATATATGAAATATATCCATTCTTCAGTTCCTTCTGAATGTTTCTTGGGAGCAGGGCTAGGCTATAAAACAAGAAGACATAGTCAGAAAGAATGTATTTAGTTATCCCGTATTTCTTTTCTATGTATCTCATATATCAGTAAGTTTTCATTTACAGATTTTTTTTATTTTATTTTACAATCAAATGCAGCTCTGACATTGATGAATTTATGAAACACATTCCAGTGCATTTCTTCATTTACCCCTGATAATAAGCACCTGGTGGTGTCAAAATGATTTCAGAAGGCAGCATAGGGATTCATATTTTTGTTTCACGTTGATGTTGGTACTTTGTGCCAGCACATTAGCCCTCGCCGTGCTGGTGGAAGCTACTGCATGGAGGAGTCCACATTTCCCAAACTAACGCAGAAACTCTCTCCTGGGAGAGAGCCATAGCTTTGAAAGCATCTGTCGGATGCCTACTGCCCCGCACCGAGTTCCTAGCCCCACAGGCAACACACTCTGATCCCAGAATGGTCGGGGTTGGAAGGGACCTCTGGAGATCATCTGGTCCAACGCCCCCGCCAGAGCAGGGTCACCTACAGCAGGCTGCACAGTACGGCGTCCAGGCGGGTTTTGAATGGCTCCAGAGTGGGAGACTCCACCACCTCTCTGGGCAGCCTCTTCCAGTGCTCCACTACCTCCAAAGGACAGAAGTTCCTCCTCATGTTTAGACGGAACTTCCTATGTTCTAGTTTGACCCCCAAGGCGCTTGGCTCTTGCCGGCCCAGCGGCCCCCGGAGCGCTCCCCACC